TACATATATATATATATACATATATATATATATATATATATATATATATATATATATAAACATACATATAAAGACTGTACTTTGAACTAAAAGACTTGTGCAGGGACTCGGTGACTGGTGCCGTACATCAGCATCTTCTCATTAAATCCCTCCCAGTCATTCTCAGATGCCTCTGAAGTGTCAGTGCAGTGTTTCATGTGACACTGGCTCCAGAGTGAGGGTGTATGGAAGAACATAAAAATGTAAATTTCCTGCCATTCATATACAAACACCATAAACAGCGTTTACATTGGACTTCACCCACCGTGCACTGGTGATAATACTGTTTTATGTCAGAGGCCGTTACATGAATCATTCCTGGTATGGAGGAGATATCTGGTCAAGGAAGTACAACAGCGCCACCTACGTAAGGAAATAGTCTTTGAAATACTTTTGTAATCAACGCTTCAGAAAAGTCTTTTTTCTGTTCCTGTCTGGAGGAGGACTTTCCTACCAGGTCATAATCTACTTCCTGCTTCATCTCAGGTCTTATGTGGAGTTACTTTCAAGAGATTCTTTTGGTTGCGAGAAAAAAAAGAAGAAGAAAGAACTCAAGATCAAAAGTAGATCAAACTTGTCGAAAAGTTTCAATAATTTCAAAAGCATTTCGTTCAAGTTATGTCTTTGTTGTTGCTTTGTTCCCTGTTGAAGGTTGATGAAATAAAAGATCACAGGTCAACACTCTAAAAACCTGAAGAACTGTCAGTCTGTGTTTTACATTCAAAGTCTCAAGTTTTTGACCTTCGACGTATTGTTTTGATTCTCAACAAGTACAGTCAGCACTTAAAACCACTGACTCTAAAAAAAAAAATCCTCCTCCACAGCAGGCGTTCTACAGAGCCATGTTCAGGCCATGTGTTTGATAGAAAGGCACCTGGTCTGAGGTGATGTCGCTGCCAAAAACCTAAATGAAGATAAATTGGCTCCTGCAGGAGCAATAGGACACAAGATGAATCCACTCTGTACAGAGGGTGAGGAGGGGTGGGGGTGGGGGGTCTTCTTCACCCCTCCCCCTCTCCCATCCACATCCCTTTTATGCCTCTATTGCCATTTTTTTCTACCTCTTCAATCTCCAAGAACAAAGATGACTCTTTTTTTTCTGTGTTAATTGAAACGTGCTGACACACGACCACGGTTCCATCCATTAAAGCTATTTTTTAAATAGATAAAAGATGTTTTTAAGGCTAAACGTGTTGTCTTATTAGAGCCAGACTGATAGAGGTGACCCGGAGAAAAGAAAATAAATCAATAGAAAGTGCAGTAGAGCTGGAGAAGAGTACAAAGAGCAGCGAGGAGATGAAAATAAACACTGGGCCTCAGAAGGCTGGAGAACAGCTTCTCACATTTATCCATTTCAAGTGCATTTCAGGCTCATCACAATTTTGGGGTTCGTTCTGCCACAGCTGTAACTTGACAAAATCCAACGCCAACAGCAGTGTCACTGACGTACATACTGTACCCTGCAGTTGGAAAAAACAAATACTGAAATACTCTTTTTCTTTTGTTGTAATACCTAGCTGCCCAATTCAAATTTCAAATCACTAATGCTAGCCTACAAAGTAGGATCTGCTCCTACCTACTTTAAGTCAGTAAGTTAGTCTCACCTATAAATAACAAAAAGTCCATGTTTTCCCTCCTTTGATCTCCTGCAAATATGTACAAGTATATTAGAAATTATTCATATTTATTGAAATATAATTTGACAAAACGTCATGGACATGAAGTGTTTGCACATTTTTTCACTTCACAAAATTCATCAAGTGGGCCGAATTGAACCCCCCGGTGTGCCGCTTTGGGCCCACGAACCTTATGTTTGACACCCCTGATCTAGACCTACAGAGCACCAACCAGAACAGGGAAGCAGTTGAAGCCCCAGGTCTTCAGAAAACTCCCTCATCGCCTCCTTTCCTCTCACCCTCCTCTCCTAACTGGTGTTCTCCTCTCTGTAGCCTGAACGTTCCTCCTCCTCCTCTTGGTACATCACTTTGGATAAAAGCGGTAAAAAAAAAAAACTGTACTTATGACAGCAAAAAAAGATGAATTCACAACCTGCAAAAATATTATTCTGTTCATGTAGAGGTTGTTTTACAGTATGTCAAGTATGGTTTGGGTTTTTTTAAAATCAAAAGGGAGGTACGGAT